GGTCTTGCTGCTGCTGTCGACGGTCGGTCTTCGAGCAGCAGCAGCAGCAGCAGCAGCAGCTGCTGCTGCTGCTGCTGCTGCTGCTGGGGCTTCTGCTGCTGCTGCTGCTGCTGCATGCAGGGGTTCTCTGCTGCAGCAGCAGCAGCAGCAGCTGAATATTTTTATTTAAAACAGCAAAAGTGTCTCCTTTTGGTGGAGGAGACACTTCCTGCTGCAGCAGCAACAGCTATATTTCGCTCACCTGCTGGCACCTGCTGCAGCAGCAGCAGCAGCAGCAGCAGCAGCAGCAGCAGCAGCAGCAACAGCAGCAGCAGCAACAGCAGTTTGAAGAAAACAAAATTTGAATTTATTTTTATCTTCTATCTGATGCAGCAAAAACTATAAAACTATTCGCCTCCTCAGCAGCAGCAACAGCAGCAGCAGCAGCAGCAGCGGGAGCAGCAGCAGGGAGCAGCAGCAGCCTCTGCAATAGCTGCTGCTGCTGCTGCTGCTGCTACGAAGACATCTATCTCCTCTCTCTGCAGCAGATGACTCTGCTGCTGCTGTCCCAGTGGGGCCCCCGCGCTTTTGCTGCGAGGGCCCCCTGGGGCCCCCTCAGGGGCCCCTGGGGGGCCCCCCGGGGGCCCCCCATGGGGGCCCCCCTGGGGGGCCCCCTGGGCCCCCAGTGCCGATGGCGGGGGCCCCCAGCTAGGGGGGCCCCCAGAGGGGGCCCCCAGGCTATACAGATAGGGAGAGGGGAGACAGGAGAGAGTCTGCTGCTGATGCCAGCAGCAGATAGTTTGCTGCTGCTGCACAGCAGCAGCAGCAGCAGCAGCAGCAGCAACAGCAGCAGCAATAGGGAAAGCAGCAGCAGCAGCAGCACGAATAGTTTCAGGGGGGTACTTTGTCTAGGGCCCCCTGCTGCTGCTTCGCTGCAGTCTATAACACCTACAGCAGCAGCAGCAGCAACAGCAGCAGCAGCAGCAGCAGCAGCATGCATGCGAATCCCTAACCGCCTGTATGCAGTATCTGCTGCAGGGACTTCTATGCTAGCACCTCCAGCAGCAGCAAATGCAGCAGCAGCAGCAGCAGCAGCAGCTGCAGCAGCAGATGCTGCTGCTGCTGCTGCTGGCGGTGCTGCTGCAGCTCCTTCATCGTCAAGCACCCAATGGAAGCAGCAGCAGCAGCAACTGCTGCAGCAGGCAGCCGCATACTGGGTA